TATCTGGGGGGTTTCTAGTGGTGTTTGGTGTATCTGGGGGGTTTCTGGTGATGTTTGGTGTATCTGGGGGGTTTCTGGTGGTGTTTGGTGTATCTGGGGGGTTCTGGTGGTGTTTGGTGTATCTGGGGGGTTTCTGGTGGTGTTTGGTGTATCTGGGGGGTTTCTGGTGGTGTTTGGTGTATCTGGGGGGTTCTGGTGATGTTTGGTGTATCTGGGGGGTTTCTCCGGTGGTGTTTGGTGTATCTGGGGGGTTTCTGGTGGTGTTTGGTGTATCTGGGGGGTTTCTGGTGGTGTTTGGTGTATCTGGGGGGTTTCTGGTGGTGTTGGTGTATCTGGGGGGGTTTCTGGTGGTGTTTGGTGTATCTGGGGGGGTTTCTGGTGGTGTTTGGTGTATCTGGGGGGTTTCTGGTGGTGTTTGGTGTATCTGGGGGGGTTTCTGGTGGTGTTTGGTGTATCTGGGGGGTTTCTGGTGGTGTTTGGTGTATCTGGGGGGTTTCTGGTGGTGTTTGGTGTATCTGGGGGGTTTCTGATGGTGTTTGGTGTATCTGGGGGGTTTCTGGTGGTGTTTGGTGTATCTGGGGGGTTTCTGGTGGTGTTTGGTGTATCTGGGGGGGTTTCTGGTGGTGTTTGGTGTATCTGGGGGGTTTCTGGTGGTGTTTGGTGTATCTGGGGGGGTTTCTGGTGGATTAGGTGAGGTTCGGTTGGGTTGGGTTAGGCTAGATTTTGAATTCCTCTGACGACAGTTCCCTAATTAATTAAGAGGGCGGGAGTTAATTAAACTCCCTTTTGCACTTACAACTCCCGTCTAAGTCGCTGCTGACACTGTCACAGTGTGTTGACAGCCATCTGGATCGCCTGTCAACACACACCGCGTCTCTTGCTGACAGCAATATTCCCTGTTTACACCAAGGATCCCTGCTCGCTACATTATAGACAACAAGAGCATTCAGTTGCGCAGAGGGAGTCTGGCCGCTTGGAGGCATGTGTGGGGGGGAAGGGGTGTATGGGTGAGGGGGGAGATGGGAGGGTATATGAGAAGGGATGGGTGGGGCATGGGAGGGGTATGGGAGGGGTATAGGTTGGTGACTTATACTCTGAAGAGTTTTTCCTCTCCCATCAAGACCTTGCAAGAACCGGACTGAGTTACCAGCAGTATCTCATGTGACTGGTGGTTAGTGGGAGGGTGGTTAGTGGGAGGGTGGTTAGTGGGAAGGTGGTTAGTGGGGTGGTGGTTAGTGGGTTATCTTGAGGTTATCTTGAGATGATTTCGGGGCTTTAGTGTCCCCGCGGCCCGGTCCTCGACCAGGCCTCCACCCCCAGGAAGCAGCCCGTGACAGCTGACTAACACCCAGGTACCTATTTTACTGCTAGGTAACAGGGGCATAGGGTGAAAGAAACTCTGCCCATTGTTTCTCGCCGGCGCCTGGGATCGAACCCAGGACCACAGGATCACAAATCCAGTGTGCTGTCCGCTCGGCCGACCGGCTCCCCCGGTGGGTGTTTAGTGGGAGGGTGGTTAGTGGGAGGGGATAGTGGGTGGTTAGTGGGAGGGTGGTTAGTGGGGGGGGGTTAGTGGGAGGGTGGTTAGTGGGGGGGGTTAGTGGGAGGGTGGTTAGTGGGCGGGTGGTTAGTGGGAGGGTGGTTAGTGGGAAGGTGGTTAGTGGGGTGGTGGTTAGTGGGAGGGTGTTTAGTGGGAGGGTGGTTAGTGGGAGGGGATAGTGGGAGGGTGGTTAGTGGGAGGGTGGTAGTGGGGGGGGTTAGTGGGAGGGTGGTTAGTGGGGGGGGGGTTAGTGGGAGGGTGGTTAGTGGGAGGGTGGTTAGTGGGAGGGTGGTTAGTGGGAGGGAGGTTAGTGGGGGGGGTTAGTGGGAGGGTGGTTAGTGGGAGGGTGGTTAGTGGGAGAGTGGTTAGTGGGAGGGTGGTTAGTGGGGGGGGTTAGTGGGAGGGTGGTTAGTGGGGGGGTTAGTGGGAGGGTGGTTAGTGGGAGGGTGGTTAGTGGGGTGGTGGTTAGTGGGTGGTGGTTAGTGGGAGGGTGGTTAGTGGGAGGGTGGTTAGTGGGAGGGTGGTTAGTGGGAGGGTGGTTAGTGGGGTGGTGGTTAGTGGGGTGGTGGTTAGTGGGAGGGTGGTTAGTGGGGTGGTGGTTAGTGGGGTGGTGGTTAGTGGGAGGGTGGTTAGTGGGGTGGTGGTTAGTGGGAGGGTGGTTAGTGGGAGGGTGGTTAGTGGGGGGGGGTTAGTGGGAGGGTGGTTAGTGGGGGGAGTGGTTAGTGGGAGGGTGGTTAGTGGGGGGAGTGGTTAGTGGGAGGGTGGTTAGTGGGAAGGTGGTTAGTGATGGGGGGGGGGTTAGTGGGGATCGCGTCAGTCTTTCCTTATAACTCATGCCTCTCAGCTCTGGGACAGTCTCCAACTTTGCGTTTAACCAGACAATAATTACTCCACGTCGTTGTGTCGTATTCCCGAAGAGAACAGGGGGGAGACATGATCACCACATCAAACATCCTCAGTTATTTGGAGATAAGCGTGGATAAAAAATATTAGCTGGGAATTTTATCATTTGAGGCAAGAATTGAGCATTCAAGAATGTTCTCAATCCTGCAATACAATTATAAAATCATTGATTAAAGTATATTTTAAGCTCTGGGGATACGACTTAGGCTTCATTGTCTATAGGGTCCGAGCGGACGTAGCGTTCAGGAGTTGCAGCCCCACGGACCCGAGTTCGATTCCCGATCGAGACAGTACCTTACCTTGAGGTTACCTTGAGGTGCTTCCGGGGCTTAGCGTCCCCGCGGCCCGGTCGTCGACCAGGCCTCCTGGTTGCTGGACTGATCAACCAGGCTGTTGGACGCGGCTGCTCGCAGCCTGACATATGAGTCACAGCCTGGTTGATCAGGTATCCTTTGGAGGTGCTTATCCAGTTCTCTCTTAAACACTATGAGGGGATTGCCAGTTATGCCCCTTATGTGTAGTGGAAGCGAGTTGAACAGTCTCGGGCCTCTGATGTTGATAGTTCTCTCTTGAACACTGTGAGGGGTCGGCCAGTTATGTCCCTTATGTGTAGTGGAAGCGAGTTGAACAGTCTCGGGCCTCTGATGTTGATAGTTCTCTCTTGAACACTGTGAGGGGTCGGCCAGTTATGTCCCTTATGTGTAGTGGAAGCGAGTTGAACAGTCTCGGGCCTCTGATGTTGATAGTTCTCTCTTGAACACTGTGAGGGGTCGGCCAGTTATGCCCCTTATGTGTAGTGGAAGCGTGTTGAACAGTCTCGGGCCTCTGATGTTGATAGTTCTCTCTTGAACACTGTGAGGGGTCGGCCAGTTATGTCCCTTATGTGTAGTGGACGCGTGTTGAACAGTCTCGGGCCTCTGATGTTGATAGTTCTCTCTTGAACACTGTGAGGGGTCGGCCAGTTATGTCCCTTATGTGTAGTGGAAGCGAGTTGAACAGTCTCGGGCCTCTGATGTTGATAGTTCTCTCTTGAACACTGTGAGGGGTCGGCCAGTTATGTCCCTTATGTGTAGCGGAAGCGAGTTGAACAGTCTCGGGGCTCTGATGTTGATAGTTCTCTCTTGAACACTGTGAGGGGTCGGCCAGTTATGCCCCTTATGTGTAGTGGAAGCGAGTTGAACAGTCTCGGGCCTCTGATGTTGATAGTTCTCTCTTGAACACTGTGAGGGGTCGGCCAGTTATGCCCCTTATGTGTAGTGGAAGCGTGTTGAACAGTCTCGGGCCTCTGATGTTGATAGTTCTCTCTTGAACACTGTGAGGGGTCGGCCAGTTATGTCCCTTATGTGTAGTGGAAGCGTGTTGAACAGTCTCGGGCCTCTGATGTTGATAGTTCTCTCTTGAACACTGTGAGGGGTCGGCCAGTTATGCCCCTTATGTGTAGTGGAAGCGTGTTGAACAGTCTCGGGCCTCTGATGTTGATAGAATTCTCTCTCAGAGTACCTGATGCACCTCCGCTTTTTAACGGGGGTATTCTGCACATCCTGCACAGTAGGGCACGAATATTTCTTTCAGCTGATGCCCCTGTTCGCCTAGCGGTACAATAAGTACCGTATTTAGGAGTTAATCAGCTGCTGTGGGCTGCATCCTGGGGATGTGTGTGTGTGTGTGTGTGTGTGTGTGTGTGTGTGTGTGTGTGTGTGTGTGTGTGTGTGTGTGTGTGTGTGTGTTCCTTCAGGCAAAATGGTAAATACACACACACACACACACACACACACACACACACACACCAAAGAGCCAAAGCTCAACCCCCGCAAGCACAAATAGGTGAGTACACACACCTGCAACACGTGCCTGTGCCACACACCCGCAACATGTGTCTGTACCACACACCTGTGTCTCTGACACCCTGGCAACGAGGCCGCAGAGATAACTGATATCTTATCAGTTATCTGTGAGAGAACCAGTCGGACACCTTTGGGAGGGGGGGGGGGTGCTGGAGTCTGGTGTGGGGGGGGGGGGGGAGAGTGATATATAAGTGATAAAATATTGTGTCAGAGAGTTTTACGGGCTCGCCATAGCCCGTGCTACTTGGAACTTGTTCCGAGTAGCTGAATCTATTTGATCCTGTTGATAAGGGATTTGATCCTATTGATTAGGGATTTGATCCTGTTGAAAAGGGATTTGATCCTATTGATAAGGTATTTGATCCTATTGATAAGGGATTTGATCCTATTGATAAGGGATTTGATCCTATTGGCAAGGGATTTGATCCTATTAATAAGGAATTTGATCCTGTTGATAAGGGATTTGATCCTGTTGATAAGGGATTTGATCCTATTGATAAGGGATTTGATCCTGTTGATAAGGGATTTGATCCTATTGATAAGGAATTTGATCCTATTGATAAGGGATTTGATCCTATTGATAAGGGATTTGATCCTGTTAATAAGGGATTTGATCCTATTGATAAGGGATTTGATCCTGTCAATAAGGGATTTGATCCTGTTGGTGGCGGGTGCAGCAAGAGGTTCTCTGAGGTTAGGGGATAGAGGGGTAGGGGTTGGGGGGGGGGTGGCGAAGGGGGGGGGGCAAAGGAAAAGGCTTGGTTTTAACCAATCACCGCCTGAATATCAGCTATATCAGACTTTTCAATTGACTCTAGAAGTCTTTATAAAACTCCCAGATCCTGGTGCTGCTGTTCATCTTCCCTGTTGGTGTTGGCACTATGCTGTTTCCTTCGACGCCAAACCGCCTCGCATTTAGTGCAGGTGGAACAGGGGCACTGGGCAGCGTCACTCATCCTGTGTAGGTGAACACACCGTCATAGCATCATATACAACACCCTTCCCACTCCCCAATAGGAAGAAAACCCGCTAGGTTGTTCATTCCCACCTTCACTCGCATCATCTACGGGCTCACCATAGACCGTGCTACTTAGGACTTTTTGTTCCAGGTAGCGAATCTTTAACAACAACAATAACAACCTTCACTCGAGAAGTTCCTTACTCTATCCTTGCAAGATTAATCCTTGCGCATAGGAGTCAAAAAAATCCTTTTTTGAGAAATGCGAAATTATTTCTAGGATGGTACAAGCGATCTCATCCTTTGGATAGAATTCAAGAGGCAGGTGTTTATCCACATGTTTAAGGCTACACAGCTGTCTAATACACATGTATACACATGTCTAATACTCTCTGGTGTACATTTGAAACAGATTTGGTACGGCTAAACCTTCAAGGAGAGGAGGAGCCGGTGGCTGAGCGGACAGAACACTGGACACGTAATCCTATGGTCCCGGGTTCAATCCCTGGCGCCGACGAGAAACAATGGGCCGAGTTTCATTCACCCTATGCCTCTGTTACCTAGCAGTAAATAGGTACCTGGGAGTTAGTCAGCTGTCACGTGCTGCTTCCTGGTGTGTATGTGTGTGGAAAAAAAATAGGTAGAAATAGTTGATTGACAGTTGAGAGGCGGGCCGAAAGAGCAGAGCTCAACCCCCGCAAGCACAACTAGGTGCACACACACACACACACACACACACACACACACACACACACACACACACACACACACACACACACACACACACACACACACACAAACAAACACACACACGAACAAACAAACAAACAAACAAACCCATAAAGGGTACACTAGCATCAGAAGTCTCCATACAAGTTTCAAATTCAAATGAGAACACGTACAACAGTCCTCGGTCAGTAAATACAGTTTGTCACACATACTAAACACCCCGTACAGGGGCCTGAGTATGCACGCACACGTACACACACACACACACACACGCACACACACGCATGTCAATATTTCTCCATGCATACCGGCATTTAATTCACAGTGCGTAAGTGCGTACAGACTCACCCAAGTGTGTGTGTTTCATATGTATAAGCATGACGTACCCGATTGCGTGCACACACACACACACACACACACACACACCCACACACACACACACACACACACACACACACACACACACACACACACACACACACACACACACACACACACACACACACACACACACACACACACACACACACACACACACACACACACACACACACACACACACACACACACACACACACACACACACACACACACCCACACCCACACACACACACACAGGAGTGAGAGGGAAGGTACTCCGGTGGATAGAGGAATACCTAAGCAACAGGAGACAACGAGTCTGTGTGAGGGGTGAGGTCTCAGATTGGCGAGACGTCACAAGTGGAGTCCCGCAGGGGTCAGTCCTTGGACCTATACTGTTTCTGGTATATGTAAATGATCTCCCAGAGGGTATAGATTCGTTCCTCTCAATGTTTGCCGACGATGCAAAAATTATGAGGAGGATTGAAACAGAGGATGATAGTAGGAGGCTACAAGATGACCTGGATAGACTGAGTGAATGGTCCAACAAATGGCTGTTGAAGTTCAACCCGAGTAAATGCAAAGTAATGAAACTAGGCAGTGGAAACAGGAGGCCAGGCACAGGATACAGAATAGGAGATGAAGTACTTAATGAAACAGACAGAGAGAAAGATCTAGGAGTTGATATCACACCAAACCTGTCTCCTGAAGCCCACATAAAGAGAATAACGTCTGCGGCATATGCGAGGCTGGCTAACATCAGAACGGCGTTCAGGAACCTGTGTAAGGAATCATTCAGAATCTTGTACACCACATATGTAAGACCAATCCTGGAGTATGCGGCCCCAGCATGGAGCCCGTACCTTGTCAAGCACAAGACGAAGCTGGAAAAAGTCCAAAGGTATGCTACTAGACTAGTCCCAGAACTAAGAGGCATGAGTTATGAGGAAAGGCTGCGGGAAATGCACCTCACGACACTGGAAGACAGAAGAGTAAGGGGGGACATGATCACAACCTACAAAATCCTCAGGGGAATCGACCGGGTAAACAAGGACGAACTTTTCAACACTGGTGGGACGCGAACAAGGGGACACAGGTGGAAGCTGAGTACCCAAATGAGCCACAGAGACGTTAGAAAGAACTTTTTCAGTGTCAGAGTAGTTAGCAAATGGAATGCATTAGGAAGTGATGTGGTGGAGGCTGACTCCATTCACAGTTTCAAATGTAGATATGATAGAGCCCAATAGGCTCAGGAATCTGTACACCAGTTGATTGACGGTTGAGAGGCGGGACCAAAGAGCCAGAGCTCAACCCCCGCAAGCACAATTAGGTAAATTAGGTAAGTACACACACACACACACCCACACACACACACACACACACACACACACACCACACACCCACACACACACACACACACACACACACACACACCCACACACACACACACACACACACACACACACACACACACCAATATAAATGATGGGAAATAATACATTAATCAACGGACAATTGGAAAGGCTCGACCCTGGACCTGCAAACAGGTGGGGACAAACATGGGGGTCCCAAGAAAGCAATAAGTGCCAGCACATGCACTCGGGAATGCGTGTGAGTGCGCGTGTGACTCACCAGCCTAAGACCAAAAAAAAAAAAACAGCAGCGCGTCCGGTTTCCTGTGCTTTCGTGCGTTCGAGTCCGTCGCAGTGCCATTATACGTACTGGCTAAGGCAGCGGTCACCAATTTCCGTTTTCTGTGTTGTCGGGGGGAGAGAGAGAGAGAGAGAGAGAGAGAGAGAGAGAGAGAGAGAGAGAGAGAGAGAGAGAGAGAGAGAGAGAGAGAGAGAGAGAGAGACACACACACACACACACACACACACACACACACACACACACACACACACAGATTCATCTCCCGGATGATATTCCCTACCTAGAGCATCATCATCTCCCCTACTCATCTCCTTGAACCAGCATCTCAAGTGGCTGTTCCTCTCCTCCTCTGTCTATGGCTATTTAGGCTCCTGAGCTTAACTGCTTATTTGTATGTGTGTGTATGTTTGTGTGTGTGTGTGTGTGTGTGTGTGTGTGTGTGTGTGTGTGTGTGTGTGTGTGTGTGTGGGTGTGTGTGTGTGTGTGTGGGTGTGTGTTCATGTATTCAAGGGTATATATATAGCTCATCCTCCTATAACTTTGTCACAAAGTTACAGCCCCGCTCATATATATATATATATATATATATATATATATATATATATATATATATATATATATATATATATATATATATATATATTAAATATGACCGAAAAAGTAAGATTAATAATTCTAACACGAATTTTCTCAATCTTTCGTACATTTCTTTTCACTGTTGGAGGTAAATCAAAAATCAATTCTCCAAAATTCATTTTTATTTCTAGTCTGACGCGACACGAGCGCGTTTCGTAAAACTTATTACATTACACTAACTAACACAACACCTATACCCCCTATTAGACTATTTTACAGGAACTTCTTTTCCACAGCTCATAAAACAGAGGAAAGGGTCCTGAAAGATATTGTTAATAGAAACGTTATCCCTACAGACAAAAATCAGAGGATACAACTGACGATTTACTATAAAACCAGAAAAACGGCCAGCCTACTCATGAGAAACTCTCCAGACACAAAACAGAACGCTTTAAAAGAGACTAACGTCGTCTATGCCTTCAAATGCCCACTTGGGGACTGTAAGCTCCAAAAAAACCAGTATATAGGCAAGACAACAACATCTCTTTCTAGGCGTTTAACGATGCATAAGCAACAGGGCTCCATTAAGGAACATATAATCTCTTCCCACAACCAAACCATCGCCAGAGAAATCCTAGTAAACAACACAGAAATCATCGATAGATACAGCGATAGCAGGCGGCTTGACGTTTGGGAGGCACTACACATTAAGAAGTCAACACCAGCAATCAACAGCCAATTAATGCACAACTACATTCTACCCACCTCAAGACTCCGCTCCAATATAGAAGCATCAAGAAATATGGACCAATAGGCTTTCTACAATCACTTCCATTTCAATACCCATTGTTTCGTGTTCTGTCTTGTGTTGATGAAATTAATACCCTATTAATGCCACCTCTTGTTCTGTCTTGTGTTGATGAAATTAATACCCTATTAATGCCACCTCACCCCATCCACCTCTCTCAAAAGTAGATATAAACGAAACCAGGAGATGTGTAAGTTCTATTCAGTTGTGTATTTGTAAACTAAAAGTCTTTGAAAATGTAATAAGTTTTACGAAACGCGCTCGTGTCGCGTCAGACTAGAAATAAAAATGAATTTTGGAGAATTGATTTTTGATTTACCTCCAACAGTGAAAAGAAATGTACGAAAGATTGAGAAAATTCGTGTTAGAATTATTAATCTTACTTTTTCGGTCATATTTAATAATATATGTCTACAGGAAAGACTGCTACCAAAATATACTAATATATATATATATATATATATATATATATATATATATATATATATATATATATATATATATATATATATATCAGATTTAAGAGATCTGGGTATATAAGAGAGATGAAAGTGGTCTATACTTGTGAATACACTCACCACAGCCCGGCCTGCAACTAACGTCTCAAAGATTTGCAACTAA